GTAATTTAGAGCGACAGCATATTGGTACAGCATCAATGCTACCAATAATGAAACTTAAGGTAGTGTAAGAATTCAAGGAGTAGTGGTTGAATGAGATGGAATAAGCTTAGGGTCGGACATGTCCTCGGCAACAGTTGGTACGGTAGGCAAAAAGGGCTTAAACAATTCTGGCAAAATGGGCAGTTCAGGCTTTGGCAATTCTGGAAATTCAGGTAATGGTGGCAATTCGACCTTTGGAAATGGCAGTAGGTCAGGCAATTCAGGCTTAGGAAGTTCGGGTATCTCTGGCAAAGTTACTTCAAGAAGATTGCGTGCCTGAACAAGGATGGTACCGTCGCTGCTTATGGACCACAAAGTGATTAGAAAAAGCGGTAATATAAGGGTTGAGAGGTAGTGAGATGTCATCACTGGTGCAACAAACAAAGCTTCAAGTGGAAACAGTGTTTAACCAGCTCCTACGACTCTGTGTATTTGTGCTTGAATATTCCTGTATACTACGCTTTTATAGATGCAGAAAGCGGAAGATGGGAGGGTTTTGAGAAACGTTGGTGGGAAAGTGTATGTAGTTAGTTCCAACTGCTTACCTGCATTACTTCCTTTGCTACTGTCACAATAATGAATTACTCAAACATATCTATACTCTGCCCCTCTGCTAACTGCTACTTGTAGTTACTATTAGCCAAGCGAATTGCTTGCTGCTCACAACATTTACCGATTATTCATGGAATGTATGGTATTGTAGGCAGTTGCATGCATGCATGCTATCTCAATCATCGATCTAGTGGGCATAAATCGGCCAAAGAAAAGATTGTATAAGTCCTTCGGTCTGCTTTTCTAGGTATTACTCACTTTGAAGAGATTATTGATAATGCCTTTTTAATTCCTTGACATAAAATATGTTCATTTTTATAGTTAATTGACATTAAATAGAATCCTCAAGTCACCAGCAAAGATTGGGTTAGTGATGAAAGAGACAGATAACAATATTCGGTTTAGTTTTTCCACCATAAGAATGGTTATAAATAAGAAAAAAATTCTCCACCTTAAGGAAAACAAGAAGGATTGATCAAATTATATTGAATTTATTATTAAAAACAGAACGTGCAGTACAAAACATTATTCTCCATTTTACTAATAAAATTTTCCTGCAATTATAAAAAGATGTTAACTAGCTTTAAATATTTGATTAATTCACTATTTCTTTTAAAGGGGTTACTTTTTGTTTATGTAGCAGGAAATTAATTATTGGAAGTGTTAAGTTGTATAGAATTTTCTTAAAAAGGAAAAAATTGGTTAAATCAATTTTTAATTAATCAATAGTGGGCTAAAATTGTGTCGAGGTACCAATTAGATTTTAAGTTAATTATGATTATGAAGTTCAACTATTTGACCTTAAAAAATTAAAACCATATCCCTACGTACATAGGAAATTTTTATATTTTACTAACGATGTATAGGATTACTATTGCATGCAACACTACGACATAAAATCTAGCTGATTATAAGTGAAATTAAAAATAAATGTAATAGTTATTAACTTTTAATAAAATATAAGCATACAATACAACAAACAGTACGGGGGAATTATGGACTATGGTCTTGTGGACATAAGAATTAGTATATGAATCTCCTCTCCGCAATTCACCAATTATTAACACGCTAAGTTATACTTGAACACCCAACATTCTGCGGAAACTACTATAGAAGACAAGGGGGTGCAATGTAGTGATTCAAGGATTGGCCATTGGCTATTCAGGAAATTTGGGCACTTCTAGCTTTGGCCACTGCGGCACCTTAGGCATTTCTGCCATTGGAAACTCAGGCACCTTGGGCATTTCCGGCTTTGGAAACTCGGGCCACTTAGGTTCTTCTGGCTTTGGCCATTCAGTCGATTTAGGCACCTCTGGCTTTGGCGATTCAGTTGATTTAGCCACCTCTGGCTCTGGCAACTTATGTATTTTAGGCTTTTCATGTTTTGGCAACTCTGGCTTTTTGCAATCATGCTTTTGCCTTTTCTGAGGAACCTCAAGCTTTTCCGATTTGGGTTTCTCAGCTTCCCTGGGCATTTCGAGTTTTGGCAACCGAGGGTACTTGGGCATTTCTGTCTTTAATTCGGGTTTTTTCTTCTCAGGCACTTCGGATTCTGGCAACTCAGGATACTTGGGCTCTTCAGGCTTTTGCAACTCTGGCATTTTGGGCCATTCGGGCACTTCAGGCATCTGAGGCTTGTAAGGAAGTTCCGGCTTCTCTGGCAAGGTTATCTGAGTCTCTAAATGGCGTCGAGGCCCTACCAAGACACTCATTACTGACAAACCAATCAGCAAAAGCTGTAAAATGAAGAAAGGAAGGCGAACATTTTGGGCCATGGTTGAGGGAGATGACAAGAAGGATAACTAATCTTCCCAACCAGTGAGCTTTGGATTAAGTATATTTGTCTGTGCATTGTTGTTCGTGTGTCATTAGCCTTCTATAGATGTGAGAAGCGGAGAATGGGAGGTCTGAAAGCTGGTTTGTTAGGATTTCCTCTACGTAGTTAGTACAACGTCTTACCTACATTACTTGACTATTTCCGTATCACGATTAAAATGTGCTCCGCCTCCAAATAGCTTATCAACAGTTCCTACAAATTAATTAAACTAGGGGAAAACAACAGATTAAATATACAAATTATACATTATCAAGTTGAGTTCTTTAGGTCTGGTCATCAGAAAATGCTCATTGGATTTTTTTTTGAAATTATTAGACCAATCTTATGTACCCAGAATCATTAATCATTTCAGAACATTAATGATATAGAATTCAGGTTGTAGTAACATTATCAGAATCACAAGCATACATACAGTCTATCAGCCTGTTTTCTTGTTTTTTATTTTATTTTATTTTTATTTTTCAGCCAGCCAAATAGCTTCTTCTTTTCTTCGTTTTAACATAATTCTTGTCACCAGTTGAACTAAACATGTGTTTTTTTTTTTTAAATTGGGAGGCATAAACTGGCCCAAAAGGGAAAAAATCGAAGGCAACCCAGGCTCTGATCTACTCTTGGCAACCTACAGCTTGCATGTTATCAGTTTCATTCCCTTTGTTCTAGAATCTTTTGACAAATTTCCGGTTATTTTAGACTTCACGTATCTCCTCACAATCACATCCATGAGTAGCATGGTTTGATAAAGTGTTATTCTTCAGTCGATCACCGAACATGTCCCTGCTACATTATTATTGTAGAAATTTGTGAATGCATTGCATTCATTTCTTCCTCAGTACTTGACCACTCAGGTTTTGCTTGCATGGAAAATGATTACTAATCAAGACAAAAGTGATTTATCAATGAGGTGATAACTAATACTAATAATAATAATAATAATAAGCACTGCAAAGTAATAACAAGTTAATCTTATGTTCCTCGCATTCTAATTATCTCGATTTTCTTTTCCTTCAGTTCAATGGCTCAGTTATAGAAATAAGATATTTCTTTCCATTCCAAATTCTATTTGAAGTACAAATTAATTTCAAATATTATTTTTCCGTTTCAGTACTATGTTTCTTGACTATATGTATAAGTTTATGCTTCTTGAAGGTGAATCTCAACACTTTTTCAAGTCTTTTTTGTCTTTTCTTCTTTCTTTTTTCTGATTCCAATTGATTTCATATGGATAAATTTAAGTGAATGTTAAGTAATGCATATGATGATGAGGTTCTTCCAACCAAACACGTTAAATTGGTTGTGGTAATTATACACAATGTACTAAATGACAAGAAACCCTCAATTATCTAGTGATGAGAATGAGATATTGTTATTTGTTTATTTATTTATTTCTCCAAATTTTGCTTATCACTGTTAGAGGCTTCAAAAACAGAGGGATTATATGAATAGGAAAGACCCTTTTTATCCTGGTCATGGCAATGATTGTTTGCAAAGAATTTCTACAATGCATGCCCTGTCCTTCTTTTTCTCTTTTTAGCCATAAATCATCGTCCTGAATTAATTTCAATTACTTTATTTTGTTTAGAAAGAATTCTTAATTTGAGTGTTGTCATTAGATAATAGATGCTAAATAAGATTTATACCATTTACACAGCTTATGGAAGCATATAATACCATGGGGGACCATTTTGCATAAATGTAGTAACTAATACATATGGTAGGGTGAAACAAAATTGAACATATTGAATAGGACGAGACGAGACGACTACAACAGAATCATTCTGAACTATAAATTTATAAAATTATAAATTTATTAAAAAATTATATATAATAAAATAAACGAGACGACTACAATAGAACACTTTGGAACAACATCTCAAACAACACATTTATGCATCATCAGGTCTAAGCAACAATGAATACACTCATCCACTAATCAACAGACTACTATAAGAGGAACCCTAGCAACAATATGTGTAATGCAGGTGACAAAGGCAGTGTCAAGATTCAAGGGCTCGTTGTTGTGTAAGGTGGAGTTTAGGAAGGGATGGGGAAGTCTTTAGGAAGACTTGTCATGGTAGGCAATTAAGGCCGGTTGGGCACTTCTTCCTTTGGCGCTTCAGACTTTGGCAAGTCAGGCAACTTGGGTAGTTCTGGCTTGGGCAATTCCGGAACTTTGGGTTCTTCGTGTTTTGGAAGGTCAGGCAGCTTAGGCAACTCAGGCTTTGGTAACTCAGGAACCTTGGGTTCTTCAGGTTTTGGCATTTCAGGCAACTTAGGCAATTCAGGCTTTGGCAACTCAGGAACTTTTGGCAATTCAGGCTTTGGCAACTCAGGAGCTTTGGGCAACTCTGGAACTTTAGGCAATTCAGGCTTTGGAAACTCTGGAGCTTTTTCTTCTTCAGGTTTTTGCAATTCAGACAACTTGGGTAACTCAGGCTTTGGAGACTCAGGAACTTTGGGCAATTCAGACTTTGGCAACTCAGGAGTTTTGGGCAATTCAGGCTTAGGCAACACGGGCACTTTGGGCAATTCAGGCTTTGGCAACTCAGGAGTTTTGGACAATTCAGGCTTAGGCAACTCCGGTACTTTAGGCAACTCTGGCTTTGGCAACTCAGGAACTTTTGGCAATTCAGGCTTAGGCAACTCAGGCACTTTTGGAATTTCTGGCTTCGGAGCTTCTGGTAGCTCAGGCTTTGGGAGTTCAACCTTAGGAAAGGGAGGTATCTCAGGCAATTCTGGCTTAGGAAGCTCAGGTTTCTGCGGCATCGATGTCTCCAAAAGACGTCGAGCACCAACCAAGATAGTGTTGCTGCTCCTAAGTGAAAAAGTGATCAGCAAAAATGGTAGTATAAAGAAAGGGAAACGGTAGCAAGCCATGGTTAAAAAATAGATGACAAATGCTTCAAAATGAGTAATAGCTGTGCACTTGTTAATGCAATTGCATGCGCTGATGAGCCTTTTATAGGAGTGGGAAGTGGAGAACAGGGGATTTCTAGCGCTGGTTGGTGAGAAATTCTACATTTTGTTAGCTCAACTTCTCACCTGTTCATGACTGAAACGTAAGGCTTTCAAACTAAATCTACTGTTAGCGATGCCATGGAACTATTCGAACTCTGAAATGATGACACATCCATTTGACTTCTCCAAAACTAGTTGTTGAAGAAACTTTATTCAGCTCTCACCGTTTTGTTCAAAGCATCGTGATCTTTATGGGTTGAATAAGCAATAGAGTTACGCATAGTGAAGTAACAAGTTGAACTCCTTTGTGAGGCTAACGGTTGTTGTTTTGTTTTTGATTGATAGCAAACAACAGTGGCAAAGCTAACAGGTTAAATTAAGTTGAAATTTTTAAACATCAACAGGAATTTAATTTTCTTTCTTAATGGGCCGTTGAACAAAACATGCACACGGCACCACGATCACCACCTAGAAGCTTTATCTGCTCTTTGGGTAGTTCTGCTATCAACTACCTGCTTTTGCACCTTGACAATTTGCTCATGTTTCTTAGTGTGTATTTCTCTTTTTCTAGAAGAAAAAAAAACGAACAAAAATTTTAAGTGAGAGATATAAAGAAAGTGAAATTATGAAAGTTGGATTACTTATGTGTTACCAAGCACACAATAAACAGCTAACGGCAGTCTATTAGCAATTGAAATGATCTATTTGTGTTACAACTAGCCAGCCAGAGACTAACTGCGCAGAAGAGTGAAGTTGAGGTTTATATTAAAAGTTCAAAGGTAAACAATTTAAGCAAAAGCAAACATGGTTCAATAGACTCCAAAAGGGTAGATCTGATGAGACGTAGGTGATTTTTGGTTGCATGAAGAGTTCCACGCAATATGTCAATATAAAAGTTGCATTGCAACAAAAAATAATATCAATATATATGCCTTGAGGCTGCATCTATCATGTTTGCTCGTGCCTAGTCTGTTCTACGTCAATGCCATCTCCCACTCTTTCTTAGTCCTTATTTCTTCCTTCTGAGCTGAACACACCTCTCTAGTCTCCGCCAAACCCATAATTCCTTCCCGAAATTCATATCATTTCCACTCATTTGGTTGTTCCCACGTGCCCATGAGAATGATCAGTCATCCATAGAAATGTTGTTTTTTGTTTGTAAATTTTTGAGCCAATTACTGTGCATGCAGCTTTTGTTTTTCTATTAATATAACATTTAATTGATCTTGCAAGTGGCCATAGATAATAAAATATTATATAAAATGCTCATTTTCACAAATTATAATTTTGTGTTCTTTAATTTATATAAACATTTATGTAAATAATAATATAGCAAATTAAAATTATTATTCATCATGCTGTTTTAAATCTAGTTTCTAGGAAAAGTAAGATTTGATTTTCTATCTTTAAAAAATAATACAAAAATTCTCTATCCACCAAGATATCTACCATCAAGAAGAAATTAAAAGGTTTATAAATTAAAGATTTCAAGCTAAAAATAGAATTAAGTTTGTACTAATTAAATCAATTGATGATTCTGAACAAGTTTTGAACTTACTATTTCAGATGCTTTCCTTGTATATATGGAAATTAGAAATGGCTTATCAAATGAATGGTTTCTTTAACTGAAAGTATAGTTGAGAACAGTAATACACACACCCCTAATTCCAATTTGTTTGTCTTTCTATTTGTATAATCTTTTCTGTTTTGCCTTGTATACACATTCTTTCTCTTTAAATTCCATCCTCGTTGCCAATATGGATAAATTTAAGTGAATGTTTAGTAATGCATGTGATAATGTGGTTCTTCCAACCAAAAACGTTAAAGTGATTGTAGTAATTATGCAATGTGATAAATGACGAGAGACCCTTTATCACAAGCTTAGAATTTTAGTCAAGAATTTATATGAATCTTAAAGCTTAGAGTGCGGCGTTAAAGATTTGAGATAAAAAGTCTAAACAAATCTAATTCTTAAAATTTTAACCAAGAACTACATTGCGCTTAAAGTTTGGAATAAAAAGATTATGTCTAACTCAGAATTTTGTATAAAAATGCGAAAGCGAAAACTTAATAAACTTGAAAAAAAAACTTTAAAAAAAATAATTGTATTATTCTAAAAGAAACAAATACCTACAATTTTAAACAATAATTGTATTATTGCCAAGAGAAAAACAAATAATTAAGATTCTAAACAAATAACTTAATGCTTACATGCTTGAATTGCTTGAATGAATGATTACTAGGACAATTGGCTCTCTTATCTTTTTTTTCCCCTAGAAGCTTAAGATACTGTTTATAATATAACTTTCTTCTACTTCTAGCGGTTTATTACAACTAGAATAGGTAATAAAAGATTTAAGCAAATAAATATTCTACAATTAACCTAAAATCCTAATTTAAGTAAAATAAATAATAATTATATATAAAAATTCTATCCCTATCAAATTACTCTTATCCGAGAGTCCTTTTAAAGTCGAGCTTCGTGCAAATTCTCCATACATTCGACCCGCAGTCTTGCCAGATTGAGTAACGCAGCGTGTCTGCTGCCGGCAATCAAAATTGGCCCATGGTCAATTTTTGGCCTTGGGAGGTATAGGGCACTTATTTGTGCTGCTGTCCCAACTAGACTTGTGGGCTATGGGCAAAACCGTGACACCCTCAATTATCTAATAATGGCACATTGTTTTTTTTTTTATTTACATCTCCAAATTTTGCTTACCATTGTTAAAGGCTTCAAAAACAGAGGGATTATGTGCAAAATAATATCTACAATAGGAGCTTTCTCCTTCTTTTTTCCTTTTTGGCCATAATTTCAAGAACTTTATTTGGTTTGGAAAGGATTGTTAGTTTGAGTGTTGTCATAGACAATAGGTGCTAATTAAGATTTATACCATGTACACAGCTTACGGAAGCGTTTAGTGCTGTAGGAGGCCATGCTGCATAATTGTAGTAACTAATAAATATGCTAGGATGAAACAAAATTGAACTTACTGAATAAGAAAATCAAACTTTATATGTATTTATAAATTTATTAGGAAATTACATATGATAAAACAGTGGAGATAATTACAACAGAACTGTTCTAAAACAACAACTCAAACAACACATCTATGAATCATCTGGTCTAGCAACAATGAATACACTCATCCGCTAATCAAGAGACTACTAGAAGAGGTATACCTAGCAACAATATGTGTAATGTAGGGGACGAAGGCAGTGTGATGATTCAAGGGCTCGTGGTAGTGTAAGGTGGAGTGAAGGAAGGGATGGGAAAGTCTTTAGGAAGACTTGGCATAGTAGGCAATTCAGGCAACTTGGGCACTTCTTCCTTTGGCGTTTCAGGCTTTGGCAAGTCAGGCAACTTGGGTAGTTCTGGCTTGGGCAACTCTGGAACTTTGGGCAACTCAGGCTTTGGTAACTCTGTAACTTTAGGCAATTCAGGTTTTGGCAACTCTGGAACTTTGGGCAATTCAGGCTTTGGCAACTCGGGAACTTTTGGCAATTCAGGAGCTTTGGGCAACTCTGGAACTTTAGGAAATTCAGGCTTTGGAAACTCTGGAACTTTCACTTCTTCAGGTTTTTGCAATTCAGGCAACTTGGGTAACTCAGGCTTTGGCAACTCAGGAACTTGGGGCAATTCAGGCTTTGGCAGCTCTGGCACTTTTGGCAACTCAGGAGGTTTGGGCAATTCAGGCTTAGGCAACTCTGGCTTTGGTAACTCAGGCACCTTCGGTATTTCTGGCTTCGGAAAATCTGGCAGCTCAGGCTTTGGGAGTTCAACCTTAGGAAAGGGAGGTATCTCAGGCAATTCTGGCTTAGGAAGCTCAGGTTTCTCTGGCACCGATGTCTCTAAAAAACGTCGGGCACCAACCAGGATTGTGTTGCTGCTCCTAAGTGACAAAGTGATCAGCAAAAAGGGTAGTATAAAGAAAGGGAAACGGTAGCAAGCCATGGTTAAAAAATAGATGACAAGTGCCTCAAAATGAAAACTAGCTGTGAGCTTGTTAATGCAATTGCATGCGTTGATGAGCCTTTTATAGGCGTGGGAAGTGGAAAACAGGGGATTTCTAGGGCTGGTTGGTGAGAAATTCTACATTTTGTTAGCTCAACTTCTCACCTGTTCATGACTGAAACGTAAAGCTTTCAAACTAAATCTGCTCATAGTCATGCCATGGAACAATTCGAACTCTGATATGATGACACATCCATTTGACTTCTCCATAATTAGTTGTTGAAGAAATTTTATTCAGTTCTCACCGTTTCGTTCAAAGCATTGTGATCTTTTTGGGTTGAATAAGCAATTGAGTTACGCATAGTAAAGCAACAAGTTGAACTCCCTTGTAAGGCTAACGATTGTTTTTTTCTTGTTGATCGATTGCGAATAACAGTGGCAAAGCTAACAGGTTAAAGAATGCTGAGCTGTTTTAAACATCAGCAGGAATTTCTATCTCAATGGGCCGTTGAACAAAACACGCAAACCACTGACCACACGACGTCACCACCTAGGAGCTTTGTCTGCTCTTTTGGTAGTTCTGCTATCTACGACCTGCTTTTGCATCTCGACAGTGTGTTCATGATTCTTTGTGTCTATTTCTACTTTTTCTTTAAAACAAAAACAAAAGGTCATCTAGAGATATAAAAGAAAGTAAAATTATGAAAGTTCGATAACTTATGAGTTATGATGTATCAAATAACAGCTAATGGCAATCCATTAGATTAGTCAGTTGAAATATTACTGTGATAACAATAATATTTTATTCTAATTAAACTTTAAAATAAGTTTTATTTAAAGTATTTCACGAATTAAGTTTCAAACCCCAATGTCGTGCGTCAATTTGATTTGCTGGAAAGAAGAATACATTTTCTTCGTCAAGTACATGATAATTTTCTTCTTTTCATTTAAAGATGGGTGCTAAATCGCCGTATATTGGTATATCAGTTGTTATTTACTTTCTATGCCAGGCAAGAAACGATTGCATTGTACTGAACTTGGTCCAAATTCTCAAGGTATGAACCGACTAGCACATTAAATCCTAAATAGAATGATCCTGCTTTGGAGAGCACTGGAGCAGACAGCCTCATCCCATAGAAAAAGTACCGTTTTAGGGGAGTCCAGTTTAACTGGTACTACAATTAACCCATAACTATCCAAGAAAATTACTTCAGTTTTGGAGAGGTTTCTAGGGGCATGTGATAGTTTATTCTCCTATCCATGAATCAAACAAATCGTAGATTATGCACCATGATATCTTGGGGATGATACATTCAAGTAAAACCTCATCTAATTGTCAAGTAAATAATTGATTCAAGACCAAACCCGTCTTCCACATCTCTTGAATGAAAAACCTTCACTTCAAAACCACTGCCGCCTTCCTAAGAGCCAGATACCTTTGCACATACTCATTGGGAAGAGATCTCACAAGCTTGAAGACATCAGCATTTGCATAGCGGAGATTGGTCCTTGGATCATAGTAAGGTGCCTGCACGACAATAAAAGATTACCCTTTGGAAAGTAAACAAGTATCCAAAATGAGTGGAGGATGCAAGAACTAATACGAAGTATATTGTTCTTCACTGTATTCTAGAAATTTAAATGATCTATTTGTGTTACAACTAGCTAGAGTCTGACTCTGCAGAACAGTGAAGTTCAGGTTCATATTAAACATTCAATGTAAACAATTTAAGCACAAGCAAACATGGCTCAATAGACTCCAAAATAGTTGAGGCATGAGGAGTTTCACGCAATATGTCCATATAAAGTTTGCAACAGCCACATTTAGTTATTCTATTCATAGAATCAGTATCTACCACAGCCACTACTTTGGTGCAGGTTGTAACACAAGGGCAGCCTATATATTTCGCCCTCTTTTGAATCAAGAAGTTTGAGCAATAGTCATTTATGTAACTAAGAATATGAGATCCATTGACAGTGTAGTTGAATTTAGCTAAGTATATCCAGCCAAACCTAGTTCAAATAGCCAAAACCAGCACGCTCAACTCACACACTGCAAGCATCTTTTTCTTTTCTACTGAAGAAATAAAAAAGAAGTGGAAAGACACATATGAACGGTTGGAAGTTTAAAGCAGACGGACAGCGACCCAAACAGCAGTATTATTTCTCTTTCAACAATAGGAATCGGGCAATCTAGGGTATCAACTATCAACTGAGCATAGATGAAGTTTGAAGCAAGCATCATATGTTCCAAAAAATAATCTTAAAACCCTCAAAGTTTCAAGTGATTAACAGAATCACATACCTCAAATCCTGTGATATCACAAATTTTTTTGCATGGATGCATTGAAGGTGGTGACTCAATATTAACATCTGCAAAATCACATTAAAAAGAGGGATAATCCTATCCGGTTGAGCTTGATATTGATTTATTTGCAAGAAATATTTTTACAACAGAAGCTTCTAAACATGTAAATTCCTCTTAAAATGCCACACTGTTAGTCCAAATTAATAAAAACAACAAAATACAAAGAGATCAAACAAGCTTTTAATATATAATTTTGTAAGATTTTCATTGAAACTACTGGAAAACCTCAGCTTCATCCAACTCTGAACTCTTCAAGATAATTATCAACCCATATTGACAAAACAATATTTTATATAAACACGAAAGAAAAAAAAAACCTTACAATTGGGTTCATCAGGAGGATAATTATGGTAATTTTCAGCCTGAAGGATTTGCTTGAGCTGTTTCCACCTGACTTTTGATTGGCCTTTTGGGTATTTCTCATACATTTGTATCCTCTTGAAACTCATATGTGTTGGCAATACCAACTCTGCTTTTATCACCTCTGCCTCCATTGCTTCTCAATAATCTCAAACCCCAACAAAATAAGAGCTCCCCACACAAAAATGGGGGAAAAAAGAGATCTTGATCTTGATCTTGAGTCTCGAATGAAAACCCTAAAAGTAGAGGTTGTTGAGGAAGACAATGAAAACCGACCTCGCGTTGATGTCCACGTCGGATAAGAAAGGTCTCTGCTGGGTCAGTTATATAGAGGGCCCATGTAATCTGATGTGTAAGTTTTTCCATTACCCCCCTTCTTAAATGCTCAGCTTATCTTTATCGGTTGTGAACGACGTCGGATTTCTCTTTCTTCCTTCTGGAGTCAAAAAAAGTTATAATAAAAGAACGTCAACAACAACACGACACAGTTTGAAGCAGTAAAACCAAAAATCATAATCCATAACTTTACTTGGTACAACGTTTATAATAGTCAGTTTCTTTGCTTTTCTTTTTTTATTTTTTTGCAATAACTTCAGAAGGCCTTTGTTCTGTTTTTCAGTTTCTTTTTTCTCCATGCAAAGCTTTAATTTTTATTGCAGATTTTGAAGATCGTTATTGGAGACCTTGTTCACAGGTAATGATTGATGATCCTGATTATTATTATATTAAAAAAATAGCCCTTTTGATGATCTCCTTCGATGCTGCTGAGAAAATTTTTTGACTGAAAAAGGTCAAACATTATTTTAGCTTGATCTTTTCTTCTGTTTAGCTTGATTTTTGTGTTGTGTTTTTGTTTGTTTAAGTGGATCTTTTGATTGCGGTTGAGAATTATTACTGGGTT